GGGGGTTGGACTAGATGACCTTTAGAGGTCCCTTCCAACCCAAACTATTCTATGATTCTATGATTCTATATCCATTACTGAAGTGCAAAAAAGTGAATCCCCTTATCTCTCTCCTTTCTTCTTTAGTATATTGCCTAGAAATATTACATTCTCTAAATGGACAATAAATATTGCACAATAGAAGCCAATTAGAATAAAGAAACAATCTCCTTTGCTTTAACTTCCAGATGGTATTCAATTTCTGCAAGCACAGCAAAGTTTAACTAAAAATCACCCAGTTTGAAACAGAAACTGGGCATACTATAAAAGAAAGAATATTAAAACTTAAGAAATGTTCTTCTGTTTGGAGATTTACTTTCTTACATAACTTATCCTTTGTCCCTCAAAAAGTCTGGTCTTTGCTAATTTGCTAAATACAATGGCTTGGGGTAGTTATATACTGTACTGTATTGTGTTTCTGGTAGGCTTTTTACCCAGAGAATAACTGTATTGTTTATAACTATTGTATGCACTGCCCACAAGTCCACAAACCACGTCTGCTTAATTATTCGTCCACTGCCAGCAATGAGGACAATGATTCTTTGATTTGCTGCCAGCAATTTTGTCTTCCGAGTCAGATCCTGCATGCTCGACTTATTTAACTTTATCAATACCACTCTATTTAAATTTATCAACTTTCCTGGTAGCAACCGTAAGAGATATCCAAGACTGGCAAATGGATGGGCTGACTTGTCTGAACAGTTTTCAGTAAGAGCTTAAAATATCTGAAAATAGAAAATCCTCAACCTCTTTTCTTCTGACTCTAGTTACTATGCTTTTTCTTAATGATTCCCATTTTAGTTTACTACTTTTAAACCCTGTTTTTCTAATAGAAAAATTGTATCATAGAGAGATTCAAGTAACTTGCCCGTGACAGTGGGAGAGGCAAGAGAAGTCTCTAGGTGTGAGATTCATCTAACCAAAGTTCAAAAAGATATAGTCAACACTTTTTAGTCAGCGGGGATAGACGTGTATCTACAGAGGGCAGTTCTTTCTCACCCTCAGACAGGCACTAGTGGTAGATCAGATGACTGTGCTTTTTTTTCCCCACTACCTATAAAGTGAGACCAAGGTGGCTAGGCTAGGCTCAGTTATCTAACTGTCTGACATCTAAGGTGGGGCGAGCTGAATCCTAATACAGGTTTCTTTTCTACTACCAATCTCTGAGGCAAAAGCTCTCTCTTTGCTTTTCTTCCTTTTCTTCCAGATTTCCACATGTATATCTGTCATCAAAGAGCTAAAACAGCATATGTGCCCCTATTTTCCAGGGGACATTGAAGCTTATCAGTTTTATTTCTGCTCGGAAATACCCGGGGCAAATTTAACATAAAATCAAGGCAGAGAACAGAAGTGGTATAGTGTCATTTGCTTCACTGTCTTGGATAGAAATACAGCATTAAAATAAGGGCATAAAGAAAAAAAGTGCTTCCTCCCATCAAGCAACAGTAATAATTTTATAAATTCTTATCTTTTACAAAAAAAAAAAAAAAGAAAAAAGAGGCAAAAGAGAAAAGAAAGTATAAGCAAACAGCATTAAATTGAAGCAAAATAGGCATCAAAGAGCTTCTGTCAAAAAAAGGCAGCCATATATGCCAGCACTTACCATCACAGTCGCAGCTGCCGCAGCTGCCTGGGCTGCCACCGCAGCCTGGTTGGCTTGGTGTTGCGCCGCTTTGATTTTGGCCTGCAAATGTGCAGGAGGGTGAAAATACTTGCATTTCTCCCTCATGCAACGACCTTTTATGTAATCCATACACACGGTTACGGTGTTGTCGTTTGTGTCAATCATTGTGCTGTCTGCCGGATGTGCAAAGCGGCAATCAGTCTCTCCACGCGCACAGTTTCCCCGCTGGAACTCCCTGCACACCTACGTGCAAAACAACACGTGTTGCAGGGGAAAAGCTCGGCGCAACGTGGAAGGGCAGGGAGAGCCCCACGCCCCCAAAAGACAGACCTGTCCCCTTCCCCGCTTAGTTCAAGTTTTTCAGTAAGCAAACAGCATTAAATTGAAGCAAAATAGGCATCAAAGAGCTTCTGTCAAAAAAAGGCAGCCATATATGCCAGCACTTACCATCACAGTCGCAGCTGCCGCAGCTGCCTGGGCTGCCACCGCAGCCTGGTTGGCTTGGTGTTGCGCCGCTTTGATTTTGGCCTGCAAATGTGCAGGAGGGTGAAAATACTTGCATTTCTCCCTCATGCAACGACCTTTTATGTAATCCATACACACGGTTACGGTGTTGTCGTTTGTGTCAATCATTGTGCTGTCTGCCGGATGTGCAAAGCGGCAATCAGTCTCTCCACGCGCACAGTTTCCCCGCTGGAACTCCCTGCACACCTACGTGCAAAACAACACGTGTTGCAGGGGAAAAGCTCGGCGCAACGTGGAAGGGCAGGGAGAGCCCCACGCCCCCAAAAGACAGACCTGTCCCCTTCCCCGCTTAGTTCAAGTTTTTCAGCGAATTCAATTTAATAAACCCTTCATCTTCTTCTGGGAGAGGGAAATGAATCTATTTTACCCTTACGTGCTTGGCTCCTCAGGTAGCTCTGTGGTATGGCAGCTAAAATGAACTTGACATGCAACAGAAGCATTCCCAAATGCCTTTCCTTTTTCCTGTCTAGAAAACACCTGGGAAGGATACTTACTGAAGTAATTGCCCCTGCAAAACTAGCTGGGAATCACAAAATATTCAGTTCCTTTCTGACTACACTTTACATTCTTGCAGCTCCACTGGTAGGGAAGGAGTTCCTCTTGCTGAGACCCAGGGAAGATACGCATCAGATGCACTGTATTTTTTATGGAGTCTACAAACAAAATGGAGATCCTCCTTAAAAATAATTTTCAAAAATGGGCAAAATGAACACGCTGACTTTCCTAAGAAGAAATGTGCTCTAGACACTATTGCTTAGGCTTTTGGCAAAGGCCATTCATTTCTGCAAGAGCCATTTGGCCTTCTCGTGTACTTGGATCACAGATTCCACTGAGCCCAGCCATGCGGAGATCCATCAACACCAGGGAGGCTCTGCACATAGCTGGGGGCTTGCCCCTTCAGCCTGCTGCAGGGTTGGTAACATTCGACATCTCCATTTGTAGCTCAAGGCTGAAGGGCTATACCATTCCCCTAATATCAATCCATAAGGCTATAAAATTCCCTTAATATCAATGCATAAAAACTGGGACAGAATTAATACTGCAATAAAAACGTGCTTGTTAGATATTTCATCAAGGCACACCTTTACAGGCACGTATACTTGAGGTATTTTGGAGGAGATGAACTTTACGGAAGATGAAAATTCATGTTGATGTCTGTGTATTACATTTGAGTGAACGCACTACCTTAAAAATAACAGTGTTTAATTACCACTGGCTGCAAGTGTAGAAATCCTGCCTGGTTACAAGGTCTTTATTTGTAGCAACTAAATTTAAGCATCGTTTCTAAAACAATTGAGTTTTTCCCTCCAGGATCTTTCACACAGCCTAACAGAGGATTGTACTTCTAGTCACGGTGGTGTCTACAGTACCTCCAGCTTATCAGTCCTCAGGAGTTTCTGGGTAGCAGTTGAACCGGGGACTGAAACCGGTGGACTTCCAGGAACAATGACAGGCGGTGTGGGTAGGATCTCAGTCGGGACTAAGCCAACTCCCGGTGTTACTGGCGTTAGGTAAGGAGCAAAGCTAATAGCTGTGTTCGTTCCTATTGTGGGACCCACTGGAAATGTGGGCTGCAAAAGGAAAACACAAACCAAGATGAAAAAAACCAACCCCTTAATCAAGAGCCTACTAGTTGTCTCTTGCGTGTTCTTTCTGGCGCTGATTCATTTTCTTAATGAAAAAATTTCAAACAGCTGGCAAAACACACGGCATACTCTCTTCTTTTAATCACGTAACACATTCCAGCGGCATACAAAGAACCACCTTTGTAGCCCTATTATTGGAAAAGAGGCTGCCGATGCAAAGGAAGTCATACTTTGAACCTCAATCTCTACGGAGGTCCAGCTTACATTGCAGGCTTATTTACACATCTAAAAGTAGAAATAACATAGTCCTTATTGTTTTTTCTCAATACCTGTTTTCCTTGGGAATACAGGCTATTTTTCAAAGTACCAGATTTCATAGGTGAAGCGTTATTAACTATATTAAAGTCATATTTCTAGTAAGAGTATATATAATGAGCTCTTTGGCATGTAACTTCCATCTGTTTGCATGCTGTATTTTGCCACCTCCTGCAATTATATGTTACTATGGCTCACACATCGAAAAACCTCACCTTTGCTAATGTTTGTGTGCTCAGCTGTCACCAGTGGCAAGAAGAATAAATATTATAATCTCATCTGGACACAATATTTAGAAAGGGATTATTCAGGCTTAGCTAGAGTTCATCTTACGAAAAAATTTGATTGGAAGGAATGATGCGGGTCTAAAAATCTGTTTCATGCCTTCCTACAGCGAGTCAGTGAAGTCATGACCAGAAGAAAGAGCGCTTGTGTGACGCTAAAATGCAGCCCTACCAAGGCAGAATGGTGGGTTTGTTACCACCAGCTCCATGGGGGGTTGGAGGCAGAACATCACCATGCTCAGGCCACGGTCAGACCTGGAAAGTGCATCAGTTCTGCAGAGCTGACATTTACCCCAGAGAGTGAAGCTATAATTATAAATGAGGAAAAGCTATGCAGAAAAACAGGACTCATCTCAGGTTAGCTTTGTCAGAAATTAAGTTCCCAAATAAGCTGGCAGCTAGAAATTAACCACGCAACAGCAGAACACTAAGGGAAGACTTTAAAACACTTAACGAAGGAGAAGTGTCTTTCTCATCAAGGTGGCCTGCACAGCCTCTGTTGGAGAAGGGAAGCCAGCCACGCGTAGTATGTAGAAAATACGCAAGAGAAAACATAGGAGCTAGAAGGTTTTTTCCTGGTTTGTTTTGGTTTTGCTTTTTTTGTCTTTGGAACCAATTACTAAATTATAAATGAATGTGAGTTAGTACCAAGAAGATGCTTTGAGCAGCAGATTAGCCAGGATACCCAACTGTACAGAAATGGCATCTACCTGCCCTAGAGAGTTAAAAGTGAATAATGCTCTGTTTTTATCAGAGATCGAAACTGCTTGACAGCCCAGTCTATATATCAAGTGCGAGCTAAATTCTTTAGCGCATAATAATGAACATTTATACGAAACAATGGTTCAACTATGTTGAGGACAATATGTTTTATGTAAAATATAAATAACAGCTTTGTATCAGATATAATTTTAAGAATAAATCCACATGTCAAATGACTTCTATGGAATTTTCTTTCACTTTTTATCCATTTGGTCAAGGCTGAGTCATCTTAATCTGGCAACTTACGCAAGACAGAGAAATAAAACCCAGCACTTATCACAGCAATCAGTACAGAAGGCACTACGTCAATGAAATTGTAAAGTTCAAATGATGAAATGGGTGAGTAGAAAAAAGTATAATTTTGTCACTTCAATTTTTCTCATAATACTAAGAAGTGGAATCTCTTTCTTCTTCAAAACTTTTTCTGGTGAAAACTCAAGCAGTAAAAAACCAGGAAATATCAAAACACATTATGCCAATATACCAAGATACATTTTGATGATCATGTACCAGAAATTCAGGGACTCCTGACACCCAATTTTTGTTCATGCCTCCCACTTTACAGCAGATGTTTCAAGTGTAAAAACACATTTGAAAAAGGCATCTGGGGTGAGCTTCCTGTGACCAAATACAGATGTCTTCCTCTGAGATGCTTACACTTGGCTCCTGTGATAGCCCGTGCAAAAACAAAGGCACTTAAAAAACCAAATCATCTAATCTGAATGCAGACGTCTGAAACAAGCCAAGCAAATAGTAATTAGAAGTGCCTATGTCTTTCGACAAACTATAAACGGACCTTGGAAGCCCAACGAGAAGTTGATGCCAACACTCCAGATACCTCAAGTTAGAGAAAGAAATCCCACTCCAGTGCCTTACACCAGGCATTCAGATTGAGAAAACATCATTAGCAGCCATGTGTGAAAAGTTTAATACAGATTACTTGCCTAACCATGCTCTGGTAGCCTGGTACAATGAGGAGCTCAACTGCAAAGGCAGCCCAGAGCAATTGATCATTTTCATGTATATCCAAAGACGCTGCTCATGCCTGCAAGACTAGTTTTATGTTACCTTCTGGATTTGAAGTGTCCCAGGCACCATACACATTACCTTAAGATAAAACGCTGAGTTTGTAAAGTGCATGCTCCAGCAGTTCTCTGTCTTATTCTGGGACACTTCAGATTTCAAGAGAGTAAGAAAATGCTACCCAGAATGACATTAACCTTTGTTCCTGGTACTGAGATTAAATACTATTTAAAGCCACTCAAACCCATAGACTCCTGAGAGGGGAACTTTGCATTCCTACTCAAATAGCTTACTAGCAGTTATTATTATTATTATACAAATTTTCACCTCCAGAAGGATTATAGGTAAAAATCTTGCAAATTTAGACTAAACCTGACATGAACTGAATGAAGGAAAAAAAAACAAAAGAGAAAAAGAAAAAAAACCCAAATGGGTCTGGGATGAAAAAAAAAATCAAATCTACAGCTGCACTCCACTGTATCTTCAAATGCAAATATAAATGAACATTATCTCTAGCATCTTGGCAACTCCTTAAGTCAACAGATGGGGACTATTTTTATTGACACTAGTTTAGAGAACTTTTGCAGGTCAATATAGTCTTCTACTTTGACTTTACTTACCAATAACACCATCAGAGAAATATACTTACCACTGGCTGTAGTGGTGTCCCTGGAAACATGAACTGCATTTGCTGGGCAAGCATTGCTGCTGCAGTTTTTTGTTGGATTAAGTTGTTTCTGCCATTGATTTCCAGTTGGGTTTTTAAATGTGTTGGTGGATGAAGGTACTTGCAGTTCTCCCTTGTACAACGACCCTGGAAAAAGAAGTCACACTAATTGGTCTACTGCTTCTGATGATAGTTTAATGCCTTTGAGCAAAATATTACACCATAAACTAAGCAAGAACTAATGAAATACAGGGTGTTTCCTGGGAACTATGTTGCAGGCTGGGAGGAGCTGATGGCCTTGAGCTCTGCCTCAACCTCTGATTGATCATTAAGGTTATTAGCCACGAAAAAAGAGAAAGACTTTGAAAACAGGTGATGGCATTTTCATTGTTAAGTGCTGATCACTGCTGTACAATTAATACTGAGTATTATCCAGACTGCCTGAACTGCCTCTCATGGTATCTTGGCTAGACTATCTGGTGTTACCAAAACATAAATGTTTTTATAAATGACACTACATTATGAATAACAAATTTAAACCTTCTTTAAGAGAAATGCAGCTTTTAAGCACATTGTATCAAAAAATAATTGTGTGTTCATGGCAGTAAGGATCTAAAGTGGCCACTCTCTGCTTGTGTTCTTTCATACATTCACTCTTATTCCAGTTCACTGCCTTCTGGCCTCCTGTTTTTATTACATCAGCACAACTTTGAACTATTTCCATTCAAGTATAAAAGAACAGAAGTCAAGCTGGTACTTTTGCAGCTTAAATTCAGAAGCAGTGCATGGAGCTAAATCTGCAGGTACACAGCAAAAGAAGAGCTCCCGATCAACCTGAAACCAGGAATTTTTAGACCGTTATGAGACAGTAAGAGACAATAAAAATATGGGTGGGCAGTCACCTCTGAGGTGGCTTGTGTTGGAGGGGATGGACATGGAGCACACCTCTACAGGCAGGGCATGCTGACCAAAACATAGGTACAGCAGCATAAGATGCACTGATATGTTTTCCCCCAGGAAGGGAAATTGTAGGGTGCACCAGCAGGTTGTGCAGCTGCAGGGCAGAACCCACTGAGATCAGAAGCTCCTCAATGACACGGCTCACAAACAGTCACGAAGTTTTAAGAGCTGTGACCAGAGGAGCTAGAACATTAGTCAAACTGCATTTGACACACTCAACTTGTAGAAGATAAGTTTCCAAATTGAGACATTTTTAAAAAGTGCTTTTTAAACTTTCCATTCACTGGTATAAGGGCTTTACAATTTGTAGCCAAGCAGGAATATCCTCCTATAGCCAAGAAAGCATTAAGATCCCTATGCAAGATCATCACACAGGACACACATACACTGACTCTGTGGGTGCATACCCACCCCCCCCCCCCCCCAAAACCTTGAATACACTTCGAATGTCCCAGAACAACAGTGTTAATGTTATACTTCTTACTCAGACACCAAAACACTGCTGATTCTGCCTCTAATCCTCTATAAGGATGTAATAACTACCTACACAGGAGTGAGTTAAACGTGTTCAGGAAGGTTCTCCTGCACCGCGGCCAACGGGAATGAAAACAGCTATTTCCACACTATTAAACTATCGAGAACAACCCTTTCCTGAACTGTGCCTGGCCACTGCTCGGGAGTATGCTAAAGGGCAGAGGCCAGAAGAGTTCAAGAAAGCTAAAAATTTAAGAAAAAAAACAGTCTTGGTGCTCAGGAACACTTCTTGGTGCTGTTTTAACCTGCTAGTAAAGATGCAGCCATTTTCAGGACACCATGCCTTCCTTCTGACTTCTGTTGTGCGAGTCACTAATGCCGTCTGGTTTAATGAAGTGCACAAAAGGAACCTTACTTTGTCAGCTGGCATGAGCAGAACCAGAAATAGTCACGATTTGATGGACACAGAAGAAGGCTGGCTCTTCCATTCGGGGAGAACAAGGCCACCGCGTTCATAATGTTAAATTGGAGCATGCTCAGCGCAGGCAATGAACATATGCTTTTGTGTTGGCTGATGAGGCCAACTGATTAAGACATTTTTAACTGAGATCTATTTAACCTTGATCTATTTTGTATATGAATGGTTCATACAGCAAATCTGAAAATTAAACCAGCAAAATCAAATCAAACTACTCTACCTGATGGAAATATCTACCTATGGAAACAAAAGTGCTCCTCAAATAAGGATTGAGAGCAACTCTCAACCACAGTGGCTTTTGAAGTATCTTAAGCCTGAAGAGTGCCTTCAGCCAGCCCTCCACTCTGACCTCTGAAAGCACACAGCTACTATATACCATCACTTCAAGCTCTGCAAAGCAACCCACAGTGCACAAAAGATTGGTTATTTCAGAAAACTTTCCAAAATAATCCAACCATACAAAAATGTACTGTCCTCTCTAAACTTATTCATGTCTGTGCCTCATTTACTAGTTTTTTGAGCTCCAGGTCAGCAACGAACATACTATAAAAGAGCTGTGTGGCCCTGTCACGCTACTATAGAAAGTGCTGTAAACAGATCAAGCCTTGTTGAAATTAAATGACCCAAAATAAACCGCAGTGGAATGAGCACTGAAAATAGTGAGCAGATTAATCCAGCCCTAGCTACCAAAATTAAATAAATTCTGAGACCAGCTTTCAATTTTTGGACCTACCATGGTTGCAGGAAAATGCCTATAAGCAACTTTTCATTCATTTTTTAACAAATGCTCCACGTCCCTGTGAACTCCTGATGAGATTTGTTTCCGAGAGGAACCGGGCTAATTCCCAACTACCAATCATTGTAAGAACAGAAATTCAAACTTGTAGCGTCATCTCAGTAAAATGGGACCCTGGATTTCCTTGTTTATTAAAAAGTTAAATATGAAGCCCAACTGAGATGACAGCATGTATCAGCCAAACAGCAGAACAGGCCATAGTACACAACATGCAGGGGTATTCAACATGTTGGTTGGGTCACCATCTACAATAAGAGTCCACTTTGGATTCTTGCAAAAAACTACTATGCTAGCAGGCCACCTCATAACAAATACAGAGACAAAACTGAGTGCTTTAACTTTAGGATGCATCAGTATCAAGCCTCTGGAGCGAGGTTTGGTTCATCACATCTCTTAAAACCACAGCAGTTCAGGAGCTGCTCCACAGACATCCAGTCCCCCTGGCGCATAGCGGCACAAACTCTGTCAGCAGGATGAGGCAGGCAGCAGGGAAAATAATTGTTTCATACAACTTTTAACCTGCTCCCGCATATGAGTGAGAGTCCTGAAACTGAGGGCGCAGACAGATTGGTTTGAAACTTGGTCCCTAGAAATTCCTGTCACCCGTGAAGTGAAGGTTATCAACAAGCACATCATAAGCTGTTGTGCACCTCCCATGTGAGTTCACCCAAAAAAATCACTTTCAGTGAGCTGTCTCCTTATCTGCAATGGACAGTAACGAGAAACAGACATCAGATTAAATTCCCAGCACTCTGTTAGTCCCCTCATCCTGCAAGGATGGTACCTACCTCTGACGTTTCTTTTCTCTGCCTTTGTCCTCTACAACTAGCCTAGCCTAATGCGTAGGGCCACATTTCAGGCGGGTAATGGAAAGTTTTAGCAGAAAAACTACTTTTCTACTGCTAATTATCCAGACTGGGAACATGCTGTGGCTCGCGTCGGGGGCGTGCCATAGGCTTCATTCCACTAAAGAAGTGGGAGAGGGAAAGGGTGCACCAAGGAGCTGGGAACTCAAAGGACTCCAGTGCCCACCACCCAGGCACAGCAACGAGATGCTCCACTTCTGCAGGGGCAATGGTCTTGGGAGCTGCTACCTGACTGGCTTAATATCAGAAACACATCCCTTAACAAGCCATGTCACACCATTTACTTTTTTTTTTTTTTAAATCAATAGCTTTCCCTATTA